CTAGCTTTGGAAACAAGGTAGGGGTTTCTTGGGGGCCTTTTGCAGAGATTGATTTAATTAAATTTTGTGAACAATATATTGTGCGTGATATGATTATTTGATTAATATTCTTGTTACAATTGAATGTTATTCTTGGAATGTTTATGTGTTCTTGATTGGTTGAACAATGTTGGTACATTGGTGATATTTTGAATAGCTACATTGTTGTGGGATATATAGATATGTGAAATGCATAATTATATCATGTCATGAAAATTAGTTGGAGATGTTGGTTGGGGATAATAATGATGAAAAAGAGGGTAATGGATATAGTCTTTTGTGTAGTTGAGTCTAACTCTTGGCAGGTACCAGGTCTCAGGGATCCCACAGTGCACATGGTTTTTATTGGGTGATTCGGGACTAGCGAAAGGAAGTTAGGCAAGATGACTAACAAAAAGGGGAATTATGGGACGGTTGAAATGGGTGTTAGTTCATATAAATGGGCATCGAACCTGAAAGCTAGAGCTTGTGATGATTTTGGCATATTTATAAGAGTGTACTGTGTACCTAGCTTGTGGATAAATAATGAGTTACTCTTTTAGTAAACTCTTTAGTAGTTCTGGCTTGTAAAATAATATAACCATTTCAAGCTTTCAGATGTTGTTGTTTCGAATATTCTATGTGAAATATTTACTTTATATATTTAAATGTTTCTTCACATTTTAGTTATAGTTTTTATTAAATTCTATAATTAAGGTGTGAATCACGTCTTAACCCAAAATTACTTAAATCCGTGGGTTGGGGCGTGACAGTAGGTGCTCTGATATTGCCCTAGAACACATGTCTAACTGTTGGTATGTAATTTTTTTGTATGCTGACAGTTGGTGTATACTGTTGTATGCATGTTTGACAGGTGTAGTTTTGGGATTGGTCAAATTGCAGGGGAGACTCTGCTGAGTTTTTCGGCAAAAGTCAACCCCAGTTCCAATTAAATTTCTGAGTAGAAGGGCAATTAGGTCATTTGTGCCCGGCATTTGCTAGGTGTCGGACACGCACAGGGTTTGGCTCGGATTCCAAAGTGGAATTTGAGTCGGGTCCTGTTATACAAAGCCTGAGATCCCATCATACACAACAAGTCTAAAACTAGGGTTTCTCTTAAGGGACTTTTGTTGTAGTTTTACTTGTCGAAAAGAAAGCATAAGGAACGTTTCCCCACATACATGATAGTGGCGGCCAAGTTATCGACGATTCTACAATAGGCGGCTGCTAGAAAACCCGACTTTCTTGAACTTTTGCACCGTGTTAAATACACCTCCATATGCTCAAAGGTTCATTGGTCACCTACGTAAATATTCCCCTACTTGAATAATTGTTTATTTAACAAAACATAGTTATTAAGTATATATTGTTTAATACCAACTGGCTATGATATTCGGTTTGTGAATTTCTAAAATGTTATATTATTTTATCTTTTTTGTGGTATTTTGTAGCAATCCTCTTCAGAATTTAGAGAGAATACAAGCTAATTTCACAGGGAGGAGAAGCCATAGAAAAGCATAACGCAGTGATGACTTTGACTGCACACTATGCTTGAAATTACTATATGAACCTGTCACAACTCCTTGTGGGCATTTCGTGCCTATTTCGGTCAATGGATGGAGGTGAGTGTTTTGCTATTACTGATTCTATTTACTTGAGCTAGTCTATATCTTCTAATCCCTTTTTAGTCCTTGACTTGTGTTCATTTTCCTAGATAACAAATGTCCTTTGTGCCAAACGGTTCTTTTCATTAGTCCCTAGAACACGTGCTTATAATAATTGAATGAGATGCTTGTATTATTTGATATCAGAATTATTGCTTTATGATTTTCTATACCTGTGCTGTTTGTAATGGGCATGGTTACACATCCCCCAGGAGTTCCACCTATTGAGTCTGGCTTTCTCACTTTTACAGAGTATAACAATTAGCAGATTTGTGGTTCTAGATTTTGGAAAGAAAAAAAAAAATCCAAGTAATATGAAATTATTAATCTATAAATATGAATTTAGGAAATCATTTTGGTGGGGCCATTCAAACTTTTACTTCCATCATGCATTCAATGCTAGGCATATATTTTAGGTTTGTCAGCATGATATGTGCTTCCTAATTTTTTGTGCTTAATTAGTGTTATAGCGTTTAGAGTTTACCAAGATTGTTTTCTTCAGTTTTGTGGTCTACCTTCAAAATCTAATTTCTGTTTTTGCCAGTGTAACACTTAACGACATTATACAAAAGAACTTCCCAGAGGAATTTGCCGAAAGGAAGTTGGATAATGATACAATGACAAACTTTGGTGTTGATTTGATGCCACTCTTTGTAATGGATGGTGTCCTCCCGTTTCAAAAGTTTCTGCTACACATTTTTTAACCTCGGTATAGACTTATAGTAAGTTGGTTAGAAGTTTATATTTTTCACATATGACATTCATAAAATATTTAAACGTAGAAGTGCATTTGCTGCAAATTAACCATGTTGACAAACTTATCTTGCAAGTTTTGTATGCCTACTTGGTACTTTTCTACAGTCCATGAGATAAATGTGTTTTGTTGTTTTTATTGAATATTCATAGATTTTTGCTTGTACCTTGTCACTTAAACAACGGGTAAGGAGGATAATGGAAGGCAACCGTCGAATGGGAATGGTAGATTAGTGACACTGGTCCCTTTCTTTCCCTTTTAACTTTCTTAAGGCATATAAAGTTTGACCCAAAGTATAAGTTTCACTGATTGTTTGTTTTTAAAAAAAAATTTATAGGTTATCACATTGATTCTTCGACAGGTTCAATAGCTGATTTTTCTTGTGAAGTGGAAATTACCAAGTAGATCTTTCATCCTCCTCCTTTCCTTCTTAATTTTCTAGTATGCAGAATGTCATTTGTAAACTCCACTACCATGCTTCCTCCTTTTAAAGAAAAAAATTATTATTTATGTAGGTGTGAACCACTCCCAAACGGACATTTCTATTTAGAGGTCAGATACGAGTGTCTTTTACTTCAATTTGTACTTTTGTGCCCTGTTTACATTGTTTTAATGCATTATGAATGCTAAAACTGATCTACTTTTCATTTAATGAACAATTATCCTTTATTTTTGGTCTTTATTTATACACCCGAGGTTGCAAATTAACTAATAGGCTTATCTATGATAAATATTTCCATGTCATAATGCAAGACAAATGACCTTGTGGGTCAAGAGCTCGCCGCGGGCACGACAGTTGTATGTGTCGAGTGAAAACGCTTCAAATTGGACGATCGGAGGCCAACATGTACATGTGTTGCATTGCAATTTTGCACTCACTGGATTGCAATTTCCATTTAATTACAATTGGCTAAATTGTTTTATCATTGGATATTGGTATGATTTTTGAAGTTAATGGAAATTATACAATTGTGTCATCAATGGATATGTCTTTTTGACTTTGTTTGATTGCTTGTTTTCATGATAGCTTTGCTTTTTGGTTTGTTTTGTTTTTCTTTTTTTGTTATTGTGGTTGTAATGTGATCAGAAATTGCAATGCAGAAAACGAAAACTACAATGCAGAAAACGGAAACTGCAGTTTTCGTTTTCGTTTTAGTACTTTCATCATGGTTTTTCATTTTTGTTCCTCACTTATTAATATATTTATTTTTTCCCATACTTTGCAATGCAGTTTTTGTTCCCATAACTGCATTGTAGTTTTTGCTTTTTATTGCAGATTGTTTTTTTACTTTTTGGTGCAATTATCCTAAGGTAAGTCTTAAAAGTTAACATATCTTTGGTCTAAAAATGTCTGGATTTTTAGAAATTTTATTGTCGATGAAAGAATTTTGATGCCATGAAAAAATGTTGTTAACAAGGTAGACCTTGATTAGCATATTTATCATCTATGCTGGTCCCGGTTTTAGAATGATTGAAGGAAAAGAATTTTGTCAATATATTAGTCTTCTTGTTTCAGTGCAGTGAAGGTCTTTGCAATAAATTTAGTCTGTGTTATGTTTCGTTGATGTTTTTGGTTTAGTGACTTTTAGTCTCCTTGTACCCAAAAAAAAAGGTGGTCTTTTTTCCTTTTCAGTTTATGGGTTTATGGTTGCTTATGTTAGAGATAGTTTAGTGAATTTCTAGACATGTACATGTGTTGCATTGCAATTTTGCACTCACTGGATTGCAATTTCCATTTAATTACAATTGGCTAAATTGTTTTATCATTGGATATTGGTATGATTTTTGAAGTTAATATGTTTATTTTTTCCCATACTTTGCAGTGCAGTTTTTGTTTCTATAAAATTGGTTTGTGTTTTTGTTTACATCATTGATATCTACATTGTTTTTGTTTTAAAATCCCACTTAAATATGAGAAATTTTGATGTGAAGCTCAGATTTGTTGTTGTTGAGGCATGTATATCCTCACTTATTAGTAGGTGCATTTTGGGATGTGGCTTACTAGGTGCTACATTGCAGTTTCTAATTTGATTATATGATTTTATTGGTTTTTGCTATTTCTTACTAGCTGTTGGCATGAATTTTTTGGTTTTCATTTTTTGTTTTTGTTTGCAATTTCTGTTTTTATTTACAGTTTTTGTTTTTGTTTACATCATTGATATCTACGCTATTTTGTTTTGTATAACTCTAGAGCTCAGCATGTGGGATTTGGTAGAAATTTTGCACATATCAATGTTGAAATATATATATATTTTTTAAAAACCATTGACTGTTAATATAAATATTGCCTTACTGATAAAATATCACAAAAATAAGGTTGGTGTAGTGGTTTGTGAATAAGGTTGTCCTCCTATGAGGGTCAAGGTTCGAGTCTCTTCAAGCACACTAAATTTCCTATTTTTTTTAGGTTGAGGGCAACATAGTTGGTGACCGGCGATGGCTGGCCGACAGTCAGCGAGGTACATCGATGGTTGGCCGGCAGTCGGTGAGGTACGCGATGGCTGGCCGGCAGTCGGTGAGGTACGCGATGGCTGGCCGGCAGTCGGTGAGGTACGCGATGGCTGGCCGGCAGTCGGTGAGGTACGCGATGGCTGGCCGGCAGTCGGTGAGGTACGCGATGGCTGGCCGGCAGTCGGTGAGGTACGCGATGGCTGGCCGGCAGTCGGTGAGGTACGCGATGGCTGGCCGGCAGTCGGTGAGGTACGCGATGGCTGGCCGGCAGTCGGTGAGGTACGCGATGGCTGGCCGGCAGTCGGTGAGGTACGCGATGGCTGGCCGGCAGTCGGTGAGGTACGCGATGGCTGGCCGGCAGTCGGTGAGGTACGCGATGGCTGGCCGGCAGTCGGTGAGGTACGCGATGGCTGGCCGGCAGTCGGTGAGGTACGCGATGGCTGGCCGGCAGTCGGTGAGGTACGCGATGGCTGGCCGGCAGTCGGTGAGGTACGCGATGGCTGGCCGGCAGTCGGTGAGGTACGCGATGGCTGGCCGGTAGTCGGCGAGGTACGAGATCCGGCGACGACGGCGGCTGGTCAAGGATGGATGGCAAGCAGTGGCGGCTAGCCAAAAGGGGATTGCCGGAGGTGGACATGTGGCATAGTGTGCTTGATTTAGAAGGAGTGGCATTTTGTGTAATTTTGATGTTTTTTAATTATATTATTGTAAACTTAGGTACTACTTTTTGGTCTTTGGCTTTATGCTAACTAGCCTTTTTGCACGCACTTCCGCGCTTGCGAGAGGCTTTTTTTTTCAAAAAAATTAAATTTATTTTAGAATTAAAAAAGATAATGGGTCGTTGTGTTCCATAAAAATATGATCCATTATCTGATTTTTCTTTTCATTTTAATTTTTTAAAATATGAAAAAGTGTGAATTTACCATATTATCCTTATTTAATTAATAATTTCAATTCTTAATGTTTGCATTAAACAAGGGCATTTTCTAGTATTTTGAATGTTTCACCATTCTCTGCCTTTTGCTTTATATATAGATTAGGTGAAATTGTATTTCTATCTTCCAAATTAGTAAACTATATAGTATATCCGCGTGACTATACTAATTTTATAATAAAAACCGTAGTAGGGCCGCGCGGCTATACTATTTTCATTTAAAAAAAACCCATAGAATAGCCGCGCGGCTATAATATATATTTTTCTTTTTTAAAAGAAAAAGGGATCGCTTGGCGCCAAGCGCCTGCTTTTCCACATGTCAAAAACAGCATAGCCGCTCGGTTATACTATTTTTTAAAATAAAACCCATAGTATAGCCGCGCGCCTATACTATTTTTATTTTAAAAAAACTCCCCACGTATAGCCGCGCGGCTATACTATTTATTATATTTAAAAAAAAAATAAGAGGACCCGCCTCTCAAACACCTCATGGTGGAGGATCGAATGGCAATGCTCAGGCTCAAGCAGCCCTGATGTGCAATTCGGATCAGGACACCAGATTCTTCTGATGTTCTCTTCAAGCTTGGAGCCTGTAATGACGTCGAAATTCATGCCCGCCCTTATGTCTCCACCGAAAGAGAAGATAAAGCCAAATCATACATCAATTGAATTTGTACTTGCATAACATGACAATATATTGCAAAATCACCATCATACATCAAAATGGTGATTTTGCAATATATTCGCCAACCAAAACAAGAATTTGGATCAAAGATTTATATTAGTAAGAGGTCGTAGTATTCTTCATGTAAAGTGTTTGTTTGTGTGGGAGCTTTTTCATTCCGGTAGCTTCAAATGGGCTGGGCTGTCGTAAGGAGCAAATTGGTAAAATTACCCCATGTGTCTGAGTTCAAGAATCAGACCCCAAGAGTGCTTCGAAAGGTTCGTGGAGCCTTAGGAAACACCTTGGCTTCCTTCACCAAATCGATTTTGGTTTGAAGCTTATTTGTGCTTATTTTGATTAAGCTGTGTACTTATTTGTTTTTGTGAGGTTGATATGAACATAAACTTTGTAAGATGATGAAGCTTTCAATTTAAACTTTTTTTATGATTATATTATTTGTTGTTTATTGTGTTTTTTTTAAAATGAATTGAGGCGATTTTTTATGATTATACTAGAGAGAAGAGAGAAGGAAAAGAAAGAAAAAAAAGAGATACGGAAAAGAAAGAAAAATAAAAGAGATAGAAGAAAAAAAGAAAGAAACATTATAAATATCAAAAGGCATGTCATATAATCACAAAGTTGTTTGTAGTATGGTGGATAAATTGTTGGAGAGAAATGAAGGTGGTAGGGGTTTGAAACCCCTTGTATGTGTGCTGAAGTCTATATTTTTCTTCTTTTTTTCACGGGTTGGTAGGTATTACACAGGTTGACAAGACCCATTTAATAAACGGATTAAATAGATAATTTATCAGGGGGTTCAGGTCGTGTTTTTTCCGTGCGGGTTTGGAATCGTGTAACGGGTCATATAGGAAATTGCCACCCCTAGAATTCTTGCAGAGACCTTACCAGATGTGGCGCCTTTGAGGAGTACAGAGGCGAAAGAAGATGCTGGTCTGGTAGCATCATAGTCAACCGCCCACTACGTACACACTCTTCCACTTTGGAAGTTTCTTTTAACTCTCTGATTTAAAATATTTGTTATTACCATGTGGTCTGGTTCGTACACGTTATGAACATGGACATGAAATCCCTACCCTACAGACAGCCAATGGCCCCAGGCCCAGCAGCAAACGGGAATCTTGTATGCCAAAAATAGCATGATTAGACCTTCCTCAACTTGTAAGCCATGCATGTAATCTTCCATCAGACTGAACCAACAAGCCTGCCTCCGTTTGGGGATGAAAGCCGCCTTGTTACTCCGTAAGTACATAAAGAATCAGCTTATTCCCCCAGGTAAAATTAGACAAACCCAAAATGCCAGATTGTCTCAAAAGGCAATTTTGTGTAAGAGCAAGCAATGTTAAATTTTCTCTACAGACGCTACTGAACTTATTCTTCAATATTTATCGGAATCTGTTGTTCTTCACAAAGCAGAGAATTTATATCATGGCGACACCCTGAGAGAGAGAGAGAGAAAGAGACCCAACCACCCATTAACAACCAGAAAACAGACCCAATTTAGGACTTGATGAAGCAAAAACCAAGGTCCATTCCTATACAGTTTGAACTACATCTGGATAAACCAACTATTAATTGCATATCTAAGTAGGGTAGGTAACAGAGAAGGGCAAGGAGAACTAACAAAATACAAACAATTGATAATTATGTAAATGCTGCTGCATAATAACTAGAGATTCAAATGCATATATAAATTAACATTAAGTTGTTTGCAAAAGATCCCACAAATACATTCACTGATACTATAATATAATATAATATTAGGGTATCCAAGGCTTTTGAAGTTTCATTTAAATCCAACAATGAGGTTCCGGTTCGCCCAAGATACACTCTTTCACGATGCCTGGCCCCTAACGTTCCATCTTACGGAGTGAGTATACTGTCTATATATGCATGCTTTCTTCCTGCAAAACCCAATTATATTACAAGAAATTAGACTCAGACGCCAATAAAAGCACTCATAGACATGAAAAAATAAGCAAAAAGATTTCATGTAAACACAATTCTTTCACCCTTGCCTTTCTCCAATGTTCCTCCATCAATAAATTCTCATCAAGACTGGTTTCTTCTTGGTTTGGCTGATTAACACACTCCTCATGTTCATAATCCCCGCACTCACTGAGTCATAATAATGAAAAACCTTGTTACATACAAAAAGTAACAGAATTCCAATGCACAAATTGATGTTATTGATGAAAACACAAGAAACGTGAAGGAAACTTACGGCGTGAAGCAGAAAGCAAGATTCAACCCAGTGTCCTCTACATCCGCAGAAAGAACAGTTGAATGTATGGTCTTGAGCATATTTCTTCCTCCTTCAACAATAATTTGAAACATGGTGATACAAAAATATTGAGCCGGGAGATCGGCATCGCAGCACCCGGTCTTGACATGGAAAAATTCCAGGTTCCCCAAATGAACCAAATACTCACTCCTATCCATAGCAAATGGCAATGGTGACTACCGTCATCAGCTTTGTAAGTCTTAAAGGAGAATGCTATAAACTCCTCCCCATGTAAGGAATAGATAGTGTTGCCTATAACCACGGCCCTACCTAGGAAAGGAGGGAAATAAACAGAAGTATGAACTTTCACTCGCTTCCATTCATTTCTACTGATGTGAAATGCAATGACATCGAAATTCAATTCTTTGTGGCAACCAAATGAAAACAGAATAATGCCATAACAAACGGCATAACCAGTTAAATCCATACGGGTGTTATAATCATTATAAAATGGATAAGAAGTCATTTTCTCCCAGATGTTCTGATCAGGATCATAACTCTCGAAGGAGGGCTCCGGAACAAGTCGCAAGTTCGTTGGAGTTTCAAGACAATACAGCTTGTCATATGCAGACACAACAATCGGTGTTGATTTATAGCCTTGGGTAAGAGGAAGAGATGAACATCTTGACATAGTCTTCGTATCAATAATATATCCACCGTCCTGTGCAACGACGTATAATTTGGAATGGTTGAAAATCAGTGCAGCCTGAAAGCCAACAGGCTCATGCTCCTCACTGAACCTGGCAACAAGTCGAACAACTCGGGGTTCATGCGTGACTCCTCCTCCTTGTTTGAATTTCACTTCAAAGATTTCATTAGTTACTTCTCCGCTCATATAAGAAAACCCAAATAAATATACAGATCTAATAGCTTCCCCCCGATTTAACGTCATTGATGCAGGCTCTAAATCCATGGGCAAGCTGATAACAGAGATATATACAACAAGTCATGTTAAGCTTTTCAAGTACACTACCTCCATTGAGAGCGAATATCATCTACTTAACTAAAGTGTGTATATCACACACAGGAATAAATACAAACATTAAAAAAGTAAACATGCCATGCCCGTTTTCCTACAAACTGCGAATGGAATGGAACTAGATCATCATCATTAAATATTAAAGAGTAATTTGATACACGATAATTTCAATTCACGGAATGTATAATTGATCAGAGCTGAAAAATATAACATCTGATTCCCCAGAAAATATCACGCCACAGTTTGCAAGAAAACACCTCAAAGAAAAAGATAGGAGCTGGTTATTATTTCAAGCAGAATCTTTGAATAATTAAATATCTATGCAGCAAGTAGAGAAAACTTAAACAAAATTTGAAAAAAAACAAAAAACTACAATTTTACAGAGAAGAAGATGAAATCCACGAAGCCATGCACTGACCTTGTGGAATTTGGAATCTCTGTCGTTTCAGGTCGACTGGTCTGTAATGAGCGAAGCTGCTCCAACATTGAATTCGTCAAATCGACCAGTTGGTTTTGCTGGGCGGAAAGCGCGGCTAGAGATTTCTCCATCTCCTTTCTCTCGCACAGTTCGCGCAAAGATTTTTCGATCTCCAATATTTTTTGCAGGACCTCATGTTGGCGTGAAGCCATCATCAGGGCAGAGACCTGAACATCTTCAAGGGAGGTGAGCAGAGCGGCGGCGTCAGAAGGTTGAGATATATTCCGATCCCCCATTCTACGTACCGGATGATAGGGCCTTTGCAATTAAGGCCCCGTTTGGGATTGCTTTTTTTGGCCAAAAACCTGCTTCACTTTAAAGTTAAGCAGTTTAAGGTGTTTGGTAAAAAGAAAATATCCTGATTATTTTAAAAGCAATGACCTTTTGACAGCAGCTTTTAAAAGAAGCAGATATGAACATTTAATGAATTTTTTTAATTCCCAAAATACCATCATTCATTTTAAAAAATG